AACGCTGTTACCTTCCCACCAAAGGTGGCTCCTATTTTTCTACTTGCATTTTTACATGCTTTCGAACTGCTAGGTTGGCAGAAGCTGGGACAAGTCAAGGGAGCTCACTCCGTTACGCAGTGCTAGGGATTCGAACTGCTGACCTTTCTGATTGACAAGCTCAGCCTCTTAGTCACCGAGCCACTGTGTCCCCTTAAGCATCCCATTAGAACTCGGTAAATTCCCTTTTCTCCATCATTTTCTACACGTATATTTTATTGTGATTTTTCATTAGCTTTTACATATTTAGACATAGATTTATGGTTTTATTTTAATAGTCTATGCTGCCTAGAGTCACATTGTGGCAAGATGGGCAGTGAACAAATTTAATAACTAATTTCCTAACTAACTAACTAAAGACCATTCCTAAGACTAAAAGTAAATGCTGCTGATGGCCGCCAACTTTTTTTTTCCTCACACCAAGAAATAAAGTTGACTACAAAACCTAACTGTTACACAAGTAAGGTGATTTTTACACGCCCCCCTCAATACTTTCTGCAAATTTAGAAGTCCAAATAATAAATAACAAATCAGAGGATAGACACTTTGGTAGGTTGTCTCTTGTTTCCCTGAAAATAAGACAGGGTCTTGTTTTCTTTTGACCCCCGAAATAAGCCCTTGGCCTTATTTTGGAGGAGGTCTTATTATTTTTGAGGTGCAGGAGGCGGAGAGCGTGGTCATCTCATGGCTGGTGCTGCATTGCAATATTTTTGGGGAGGGCTTATTTTAGCGCATGCACTCGAAAGCCCGATTGGGCTTATTAACTGGGAAGGGCTTACTTTCAGGAAAACGGGGTACCGACAGACCTTCTGTGCAATTGAGACTGTTTCGTCTGTTGGTTTTCTCATGCATGCTGAGATGTGCAACTGAAATGCAGAAGGCGCTTGGGAAGGAAAAGGCCAGCGGAGCAGCCATCTGCCGAGACCCAAACATTGCCTATTTTGCTAGTACGCCAATCAACGTTGGCACAGACCCTTGCAGTCACTAACCAATATACCCCATTCCAAAGCAAGAAAACACCCTAACATGGATGTCGGGAGTCTCGTTGTTATCTATACCAGGGGTTCCCATCCCTTAGGCTGTGGATCATTGGTGCGTGGCCCGCGCAAGCGAGCAAAACTTCACCTGCGCATGTGTGCGGTCTAGGTACCAGGCAAAACCACGATCAACCGGCTTACTTTAATTCAGCGGCTTACCTGAACAGCCACGATGCTTCTAAGGTGAGGAGGAAGGTTTTGGATCATTTCTAGAAAGCAGCGGAGAAGACCAAGAGTCCAGACATTTGAGGAGCTGTTCTCTTCTTTCTTTTCATACGTGAAAGGATCCACAATGTAAACGACAATGGCAGGCGGGTAGGTGACTGCGTGGGAATCGCCATCGGTGGGGATCCCGACTCTGTCCCGTTCCATAGTGCTGGAAGGAGATTGCAAACAGAACGGCAGTGAGATGCAGGCAGTTTCTCTCTTGTATGGAAACAGACTCCTGTGCAATGCTTGCCATTCAACAAGGCTGACTTCTGCTCCTCCCATGCAAGAGATAGAGCTCCCAAACCTCCAAGGAGGAGTACAGGTAGTCAGTCCTTGACTTACAACCATTCATTTGATGACTGTTCTTCGAAATTACTAAGGTAATGGTAAAGGTTCCCCGTGCACATGTGTGCTAGCCGTTCCCGACTCTAGGGGACGGTGCTCATCTCCGTTTCAAAGCCAAAGAGCCAGCGCTTTTCCAAAGACATCTCCGTGGTCATGTGGCTGGCATGACTCAACACCAAAGGCGCAGGGAACACTGTTACCTTCCCACCAAAGGTGGTTCCTATTTTTCTACTTGCATTTTTTACGTGCTTTCGAACGGCTAGATTGGCAGAAGCTGTGACAAGTCACGGCAGCTCACTCCGTTACGCGGCCCTAGGGATTCAAACCGCCGAACTGCTGATCTTTCTGATCAACAAACTCAGCGTCTCAGCCAGAGCCACCGCGCCCTGAAAAAAGGGATTTGTTACCGTTTTTCACACGACTGTTGCACCATCCCCATGGTCACACAGTCAGAATTCAGACACACAGCAAGTAGCATGTGATCGTAGTATCCTATGGCCATGGGATCCCTGACAACCCGAGAGCAGGTCAGGAATGCTTCGGGAGTTGACACTTTAGGGCATCGATCGGAACCCTGACAATCCCCTTTTGTGACCTTCTGACAAGCAAAGTCAATGGGGAAGCCAGATTCACTTCACCACCATGTTGCTAAGTTAAGGACAACAGTGATTCACTTAACAAGTGTGGCAAAAAAGATCGTAAAATGAGGCAAAACTCCACTTAGCAACTGACTCGCTTAGCAATGGAAATTTTGGGCTCAATTATAGTCGTAAGTCAAGGACTATCTGCGTGGTGGCACAGTGGTCAGAATGCAGTACTGCAGGCTACTTCTGCTGACTGCCGGCTGTCCACAGTTCAATCCTGACTGGCTCAAAGTTGACTCAGCCTTCCTTCCATCCTTCCAAGGTCAGTAAAGTGAGGACC